TGAGAAAGAATTTTTGACACAAAAATTAAGATAAAAAGAAGTAAAACATTTATTTTACTTTTCCCTGGAGAGAGAGAAGAAAGGGCTCGGCACAAGAAAGAAGGAAAAAGTGCCAGCAGGGAGGATAAGGGGTTTGGAGTTTTTATTGGGGGTAAAGGGGAAAAAATTAGTGCTGCAAGCTGATGGCAGAAGGCAGCTGTGAAACATCGCATCACACCCCCTGCCCCTCTTCTTTGTGAGGCTGGTTTATCAGTCTCCTTGGAATCTGGTCTGGCAAGAACTGGGGGTGAGAGTCCGGGGAAACTCACACCCTGCTGTCTGCTCAGGGCTCTTCAAGGCTGTAAAACAAACTGTCAAATAAAATAATTTAAGTCACAGGTGGTTAATTTTAAAGACAACCGATTGAGCCACATGTGGTTAATAACAAAGGGACAGCTGTCCTGTGATCTTTCCCTTTAAATGGACAATTGGGTGCTGTGAGTTTTTTCCTTTTTTTTTACTTCCTGTTAGATAATTTTTCTCTGTTAGATAGTTTATTAGCAATGCTATCCTTTCAGGGGCTGCTAACAAACCTGCTTATCCTGCCAGGTTTTATTGCCTCAGAATGGAAGCAAATATTCTCTAGGGAACAAAAGGTAAGGTCTTTAGCTTTATTACCCTGGAATATCCTCCAAATATTCCATCTCCAAATCTCTCTGCAGAGAGTCACTGTTTTTATCTTTTCAAGGCTGTCTGTTATGCAAACATCTTTGAACAAAACTGTCAATGCCTTTTGCTCAGGTGTCCAGAAACACAAAACCCCAGAATTATCTCCCAACAATTATAACATTTTTGTATTAACTTCTGAAAATCCCAAGTTTTATTTCCCCAGTAATAAAGACTAACTTTTTTTCCAAACTGTATCCAACTTTATTAAAGGTACTTTTCATAAACAGTCATGGTATTTCAGGCAGAACATGGGCAGGCAATCATTAACAGTATACCACAGCTTTCAAACTCCCTTCTTCAATGGACTACCAACATCAGAAATCACTATAAACCCAAAGAAGTCTTCATTTAATGCTTGAACATGGAAAGTTCAGAGTGAGAGTTGACAGTTCATATTTAGCATGTTGTTTTAAAACTTTTCACAAGCCAACTCTGACTTTCAGGAAATGAAATGAAAAACGGTAGAATTTCTCTGAAGATCCACCATCTAGGAATGGAACCACTGCTCTTCTGAGGGATGGCATCACTGAAAGGACCAAGTTGCTTGACATACTTGTATCAATTTTAGAGGGTCAGGTCCCAACAGGTGTCTGGGTGTAAAGGAGTTAAGTTTATCCTGAAGGTGGAGAGGGAGAATATAAGAATGCATTGTAAAAACAAAACAAAACAAAACAAAACAAGAATGCATTGTAGTTTTTAAGTAGTGTGGGCCAGGCGGTGGCTCACGCCTGTAATCCTAGCACTCTGGGAGGTTGAGGCGGGCAGATCGCTCAAGATCAGGAGTTTGAGACCAGCCTGAGCAAGAGCAGGACCCCGTCTCTACTATAAAAATAGAAATAAACTAATTTGCCAACTAAAAATATATAGAAAAAACTAGCCGGGCATGGTGGCGCATGCCTGTAGTCCCAGCTACTCGGGAGGCTGAGACAGGAGGATTGCTTGAGCCCAGGAGTTTGAGGTTGCTGTGAGCTAGGCTGACACCAGGGCACTCACTCTAGCCTGGACAACAAAGCAAGACTCTGTCTCAAAAAAAAAAAAGAAAAAGATTTCTTAAACAGGATACAAAAACTGCTAACTATAAAGGAAAAAAATTATAAACTTAATTATATAAACTTAAGAGCTTCTGTTCATCAGAAAACATTGAGAGTGAAAAAGCAAGAAAAAGTAGGATATTCATAATACACGTCTCAGAAAAAGGATTAATAAGAATATATAAAGAATCCTATAAATTAAAAACATTGTGGAATAAAAGCATAAAGAGAAAAGATATTTACGTATTGCCTCATTGTATATTTATTAACAACAAAGGAAAAAATAGTAACCATACAGTGGAGACAGACCGATACCACCTTAACCAAGTGACCCAAGTCAGTGTTACCACTGATAAGAAAATAATGGTAATTTACTACAGCACGGCAGGCAGCATAAGCTTCATGTTCACATAAGTTCATGCATGAGAAAGATACATTGCTTCTTGCAAAGATGCAGAATCTGAATTTAATTTTGAGGGTTTCCTTTAGACAAATACAAATTGAGGGCATTTTATAAAATAACTGGCCGATATTCTTCAAAGGTGTTAAACTGGTCATGTTGGTTCACACATGTAATCCCAGCACTTTGGGAGACCAAGACAGTAGGGTCACTTGAAGCCAGGAGTACAAACCCAGCTTGAGCACCATAGCCAGACCCTGTCTCTGTAAAAAATAGAAAAATTAGCTGGGCGTGGTGGCGGGTGCCTGTAGTCCCAGCTACCTGGGAGGCTGAGGCAAGAGGACTGCTTCAGGAGTTTGAGGTTGCACTCAGCTATGATGATGCCACTGCACTCTAGCCTGGGTGACAGAGCGAAACCCTATCTCGAAAAGAAATAGTGGAATGAATAAATAAATTGTGGTAAAATCAAACGATGGACTAGTATACAGCAAGCGAAATATCAAACTACAAATACACACAACAACATGGATGTCTTTCTCAAATAAAACATTGAGTGATGGAAGCCTAGTATAAAACAATACCTGTTGGCCGGGCATGGTGGCTCATGCCTATAATCCTAGCATTCTTGGAGGCTGAGGCAGGCAGATCGCTCAAGCTCAGGAATTCGAAACCAGCCTGAGCAAGAGTGAGATCTCATCTCTACTAAAAATAGAAAGAGGCCAGGCGCGGTGGCTCACGCCTGTAATCCTAGCTCTCTGGGAGGCCGAGGCGGGTGGATTGCTCGAGGTCAGGAGTTCGAAACCAGCCTGAGCAAGAGTGAGACCTGTCTCTACCAATCAATAAAATTAATTGGCCAACTTATATACATAGAAAAAATTAGCTGGCATGGTGGTGCATGCCTATAGTCCAGCTACTCGGGAGGAGGCAGGAGTTGCTTGAGCCAGGAGTTTAGGTTGCGTGCGTGAGCTAGGCTGAAGCCACGGCACTCACTCTAGCCTGGACAACAAAGCGAGACTCTGTCTCAAAATAAAAAAATAAAAAAAAATAAAATAAAAATAGAAAGAAATTAATTGGCCAATATATTAATTGGCCAATTGGCCAATATATTTTCTATATATTTCTAAAAATATATAGAAAAATTAGCTGGGCATGGTGGCACATGCCTGTAGTCCCAGGTACTCAGGAGGCTGAGGCAGAAGGATTGCTTGAGCCCAGGAGTTTGAGGTTGCTGTGAGCTAGGCTGACGCCATAGCACTCTAGCCTAGGGAACAAAGTGAGACTCTGTCTCAAACAAACAAACAAACAAACAAGAAAAAACAACCAACCAATCAAACAAAAAAACCCCAGTACCTGTTATTTTATTTATGGAAAATTCAAAAGCAGGTAAAATTCAAGTATGCTTTTAAAAGTCAGGGTAATGGTTATCCTTAGGGTGACCAGAAGGATTTCTGGGGTCCTGGTAATATTCTGTTACTTGATCTAGGTGCTGTTTATATGGATGTGTTCACTTTGTGCAAATTCACTGAGTGGTACACTTTTCTGCATGTATGTTATGCTTCCATAAAAACTTTACATTGAAGAAATCATCTCTTAGTAGAAATCACTGCATTTCTCTGGCACAATAAAAACACAGCTAGTGTAAGCAGACAAATCAATTAAACTCCTGGGCTAAATAAGGCTTGGATTGGATCTTCAGGAAAAATTACTTTCAAAATAAATAACTGGTCTCACTGAACCATTTTGACTTTTTCTCAGCTGCCGCCTAACAACTGCATAGTAAAAGAACATCAAGAACTAAAGAACTAAAAGAACACAAGAACTAAATCATGAAGCCACGACTAAACATATTTTAGAGAATTTTGTGCATTTACATATGTGGAAGAAAATCAAATTACTAAAATACTAGGTAAAATGAGCTGTTTCTTAAAATGATGTTTCTTTCTTAAAAATAAATGGTTGCTTGATTTTACCAGGAAACTATGAATACAAAGAACAAGGCTGTGAGTAACTGAGTTGTATTTAGCCTCTTACGGTAGCAAGTTATCCTGAAGGCCACACACCCCCTGCTGCTTCCCCTGCTGTTTGCTGTTCTTTGGGTCATGGGAGATGACTTTGAAGGTGGACAGCATGATGGAAATGTTCTATGTCCTAACCGGGGTGGTGGTTAGACTGGTGTATACACTTATTAAAACTCACTGACCCATACACTTAAACTTTGTGCCATTAAGCATATGTAAATTATGCCCCAAATAAAAATATGATGCTAAAATGATTAATAGCTACTGGTTGCCTGGATTTATTAAACTGCCCCCTGCCCCTTTTGTTATCCACGAAGCCTCCTAGCATTTCTCAGAAGGATGTCAGGGAGCCAAGTGCTCTGTGTCCCAGTGGTTTCAACATCTCCAGACCAGAGTGAGAGGAATAAGGAGAGAGGCTCTAAATAATGAGCTTGACGAGTACCGAGAAACTATTATTCCATTTAATAAAATTTCATGACGGGACGATAAGATATTTCCAAATAGCATCATGAAGAAGCTGGGATCCACTTAACTTTCCTCGCGGGCGGCCCCTGCAGCGCGGCTGCCTCTGTTTCCCCAGTTCCAGCCTCAAGGACGCTTTTCCAGTACCTGGGCGAGGGTGCCATCTAGTGGCAGAAGAGGCAGCCAGCGGGCCGAGAGTTTATCCCTACCTCTCGACAGAACTGAGATTACAGAATGAGATTACATCAAAGGGCGTGACAGGATCCTCTGAAAAGGTGCTTGGAAACTGAAGAGAATGGAAGGAGCGCTTCTGCAGGGGCAGGCACTGCCTCTCCCCGAGCCAGGGAGGAGACAAGGCTGCAGGGAGCGCGCGCTGCCGGATGCATTTGTGCGGGTGGGAAAAAGCCTTCTTTCCGGTGGCTGGAGGAAGCCCCAGGCCGCGCGGCGTGGCAGGTGGAACGCAGGCTGCATTGCAGCCGGCCTCCCGGCCTCTGCCAGGGATGGCTTGTGCAGCGGGCAGACCGCGCGACCGGAGCCGTGGCCCGAACGCAGCCACAGTACCTGCCCGGCGCCGACGCCGGTTCCCAGAACGCAGGGCACGCCCCCCCTCGAGTGTCCTGCGGGTACTTGGTAGCCACTGTTACCCAGGAACTTCCGTTGTCTTTTCAACAGACGCCATCAGTCTTACGTTTCTGTTCAGGTCTCGGTGTGGAAGGCCCGCGTCATCTGAAATGGAGAAAGGGTGGGGGCTTCAGATGTAGTGTGTTCAGGAGAAGAGCATCGTGCTGCTTTGTCATGAAAGACCACGGTGTGGAACTGGACACATCCAAAGTCGTAGGTAAAATGGGCGTAGTAAATTTACATGTTACATGGATTGTAACAGACACATTGTGGAACTAAGACGGGGAAGATGTTTGTTTATTCATTTAGCAAACATTTCTTAAGCGCCCTGGTTTGGGACACTGGGCTAGGAAAAGGGAACAATGGTGACTAGGAAAAGAGTCCCTCTGCCTGGCAGGAGCCCTCCCTGCCCCCAACCCCCCACTCTGCCCTCCTAGAAAAACAGCTACTCTCCTCTCCTAAGTTCACAGTTCAAAAGCTTGTCTTTTGTGAAGCCCCCTACCTCCTTCTACAGTTAGGAGTTTCTTCATATCACCTTATGAGTGCATCTTTTTAGCACTTAGCACATATTGCTATAATTTACACATTTATTTATTTTATTAACTTTCACCTCCCTCTGAATCAACTTTTGGGTTGGTTGAATTTCTCTATTGTTTTCTATTTCATTAATATTTGCTTTTAACTTTATTTTCTTTATTATACTTTCTTTAGGTGTAATCTATCGTTTTGTTTCTTGTGTCTTTAAACTCTAAAACTTTTTTTGCTATTTTTTACTGCAGTTAAATTTATAACATAAAATTTGCTATTTTAATCATGTTTAAGTGTACAGATTCAATTGCATTAATTACATTTGCAATGTTGTGTGACTATCACCACTATTTCCAAGATTTTTCATCACCCCAGACAGAGATTCTATGCTCATTAAGCAGCAAATAACCATTGCTACCTCCTCCCAGACCCTGGTCACCTCTAAGCTACTTTCTGTCTTTATGATTTGTTTTTTTCAAGAGATGAGGTGTCACTGTGTTGCCCAGGCTAGCTTCAAACTCCTGGGCTTGCCGAGGGTGGTGGCTCACACCTGTAATCCCAAAACTTTGGGAGGCTGAGGTGGGAGGATTGCTTGAGGCCAGGAGTCCAAGACCAGACTTGGCAACACAGTGAGACCCTGTCTGAACAAAAAATAAAAAAATAATAAAACCTCCTGGGCTCAAGCGTTCCTCTTGCTTCAGCCTCCTGAATAGCTGGGACTATAGGTGTGGGCCACCACACCCGAATTTGCCTATTCTAGATATTTCATGTAAGTAGAAATCACATAACACTTGCCCTTTGAGTCTATCTTATTTTATTTAGCATAAAGTTTTAAAAGATCAATACTATTGTAGCATGTGTCAGAATTTCATTCCTTTTTATGGCTGAATAATTTTCCATTGCATGTATATACCACATTTTGATTATCCTTTCTTCAGTTGACAGATATTTAGGTCATTTCCACTTTTTGGCTATTGTGAATAATGCTGCCATGAACATTGACATACAAGCATGTGCTTGAATCTCTGTTTTTAATTTTGTAATTACTTCTTTATATCACAGCTACTTCCAGTAGACCATAAATCCTTAGGACTTGTCTTACTCATTTTTATATCTGCAAACTTAGCACAGGTCAAATACACAGTAGGAATGGGTATGAGTTTGGTAAATAAATGATTAATTATAATAATTTTTTTTGAGGCAGAATGTTCCTGTGTTGCCCTAGCTAGAGTGCAGTGGCATCATCATAGCTCACTGCAACCTCAAACTCCTCAACTCAAGCAATGTTCCTGCCTCAGCCTCCTGAGTAGCCAGGACTACAGACACACACCACCACGCCGGGCTGATTTTTTCTATTTTTTGTAGAGATAGGGTCTCACTTTTGCTCAGGGTGGTCTCGAACTCCTGGCCTCAAACAATCCTCCCATCTCAACCTCCCAAAGTGTTAGGATTACAGGCGTGAGCCACTGCACACGGCCAATTATAATATTTTACATCTATGAATCACTTTGCAGTTTATAAAGCATTGATCACACATATTTTTTTCACTTAAGCCCCCATATTCTGAACAGCATAAATTTTTTATTTGATCTTCACAATGAGCCTGTGAGGTACTTAGGAGAGTCCAATATTATTATTTCCATTTTATAGAGGCTAGCCAAGGTAAAGCAACCAGAGTCAACATCACTTAGGAGTCAAAGCCAAATCTTTCACCTTTTAGTTCAATTCTATTTTTATTCTAACTTTCTGACAAATCATTGGTGAAAATATCATTCTTATTGAAAATCGATTCCAGGAATATAATTAAGCTGTTTCTGTAAAAGAGCCAGAGGAGGCTGGTTGGGGGTGGGTCTTGATTTATCCCCATCACCTAGTAAAATAGTTCCTGTCCCTGGCATTTCAACAATCCAGAGTGATCTTTTAACACCACAGATTTGATCGTGTTATTGCTGTGTGAACACTTCCCATGGCTTTGCGGTGCTGTCTGCATAAAAAACAAAATCCTTAACAGGTGTACCCACCCTGTAGAGTCTAGCTCTTGAATTCCAAACTCCAATCCCAACAGGGACTAGGCAATGAACTTTAATGAGCAAGCCAGCTGGGTGTGAGATGAAAAATAACAACGGGCCCTTGGCTGCAATGGTGGGAACTGACAGAGAGTGGCAGCAGCAGGGCCACTGGGGTTCGAACCGCATCTGAAGCTGCAGCCAGGACTTGGTTTGTTGCCATGGGGACATGCAGGCCCTGTGTGGCTAGATCTCCCAACTTTCCTAGGATTACAGGCGTGAGCCACAGCGCCCGGCCTGTATATATTTTTAATACCGGCAACAAATTCAAATTTAAAAATCAGTTGGGTCAACATGGCAAGACTCAGGAGAATAGAACAGGCTGGATCCTACTCACAGAGGATAGAAGCTCCCCTCTCTCCCCGGCATGTTTCTCCTGGCTTCCTGGGTCTGTCTCCCTTCACCATACCAAATATCCTCCAATGCAGTGTTCCCAGCCCTGGCTGCACGTGAGCATCACCGAGGAGCGAGAAGAAAAACAGGTGACGTCTGGGGCCCTCCGCGGGGTATTTCTTTAAGGCTCCCCTGGTGATTTTCTTGTGCAGCCAGACTGAGACCCTGTAATTACCAACTGGACTGCTGCCTCCAGCTTTGCCCTCCTCAGGTCAACTTTCCACACTGCAGCAAGAGGAATCTTTTAAAAACATCAATCTGATCACGTCACTCCCCTGTTCAAAGCCCTCCATGGCTGCTCCTTGCCATGGGGATCAATAACCTTGCATGCTCAGGACTTCATCCTCTGGCCCCCACCGAGCCCGCCAGCCTCATCTCCTCCTGTCACCGCTGTTGCCACTCCTTCCCACCGTGATACACTTTGCTTCAGCTCCTGTGAACTTCTTGAAGTTCCGTGGATGCACCCCCGAGCCTTTGAACATGTGCAGTTGGACGAGCCTGCATGAGCGCGGGCGCCAGGGCACCAGTGGAGTGAGAGGGTTTGAAGTGGTGCAGGGGGGTGAGCAACACGAGTACTATCCTCAAAAAGATGGAAAGTCCCTTGAAGGTAGAGATTACAATTAGTATTGCTTGTTTCCCTCTCCGAGGTCCTCCAAAGGCCAAGTCCTGAACACGTGAAGCACATTCTGAATTGAATCGATATCACATTTGCAGGAAATATTCTCTAGTCCGCTTGATTAGTTTTGGGAGGGAGCACATTGCTCACCTGAATGAGAGACAAAGCACAACAGTAGCACTAACGATTTATTTATTTGTTCAGCTGCAACAATATGTATCGATCTTTACCAGGAGCCTGGCACACTGGGTCTGTAATGACAACTAAAGAGCTTATTGCCAATTGGTAAAGACTGGAAAACTGTAAAAAGGGGGGAAGGATAAGCTAGTTCAGACTCGGGACATCAGGGAACGCCTTACGAAGGAGAATGCTGAAGGACAAGCAGAAGCCACTCAGCTGTGTACGTCTGTGCATGTCGTGGACAGGGCTGGTGAGAGAGGAGGGAATTCCAGGCACAGGAAGCAGCAGATATAAAGCCCTGGGGTCAAAGGAAGGCATGGCTGGTTCTGAAAAGTGCAAGTAATCCTACAAATCTGAACCTGGGTGATTCTATGGCCTCTTCTAGTGACCTCAAATTTTGGCTAAGCATTTCCCAACCATAGCAGAAATAGTATCTAATTGAGAAAGTTGAAAATAATTACATCCCTCCAAGAATCTCTTAAAACACTTTCAGGAAGAGAAAAAGGAAGGTTGTAATGACAAACATCCAGAGGATGGAAGTGACATTTATATTGCAATTTATCTTCCAATAGTAGCTGTCTTTGGGAACTCTGACCAGCTGGGAGGACCTTTGCCCACCAAGTTCAAGCTTTCATCTAGCAAATGTGGGGTCCTTGCCTCTGTTATGTAGATGGAAGCAAGGCTCTCCTGGGGTTACACTGCAGGAGCATGACATTTGGGGAATGTGATTGATGAGTTCTGTCTTCCCACAGAGACGTCCCATGGAGAGAGAGGGCTCTAGAAGCCAAATTGCCAAGGGGCTTTCCAATCCAAACATCTGCTATGAAATGCAGAACACACTGAGCTGTGCCTGACCAGCTAGACACACAGCCCTGTGGCTGCCCTGACAGCATCGCCCTGGTTAGATTTTCCACCATCAAAAAAATTCCTTTAGGCTGGGCGCCTTGGCGCGCCTATAATCCTAGCACTCTGGGAGGCCAAGGCAGATGGATCGTTTTAGCTCAGGAGTTCGAGACTAGCCTGAGCAAGAGCGAGACCCTCGTCTCTACTAAAAATAGAAAGAAATTCTTTGGATAGCTAAAAATATATAGAAAAATTTAGCCTGGCATAGTGGCACATGCCTGCAGTCCCAGCTACTTGGGAGGCTGAGGCAGGAGGATTGCCTGAGCCCAGGAGTTTCAGATTGCTGCGAACTAGGCACTCTAGCCCAGGCAACAGAGTAAGACTCTGTCTCAAAGGACTATGGGTTGAAAGGCACTGGATGAAAACCAAGGGGCTTGGTAAGAGTTTCCCAAGCACCAGCCTCAGCTTTCTGCACTGGAACCCCTGCCACCTCATGGCCAGCCTTGAGGGCATGGCCAAGCAAAGAAGGCAAAGAAGCCAACTTTACAAAACAGAGGGAACTTTTTTTTTAGATAGTCTCACTCAGTCACC